CAAAACTTGAGATCTCAAAGAAGGGCTGGACCACCCCCCACCGTCTCCTCACAAGCTCATGCTAGACCCGGCCTCACCTTCTTCTTGCAGCTCGCAAGTTTGACCTGCAGCAATCGGAGAGCATGCTCCGCCAGGTGAGCGCCGACCTCTGAGGGCGCAGCTGGGTTCGTGGGATTCCCTCTTCTCTTCCTTGCCTCTCTTTCTACCTCGGACCCGTGTCCCCTCTGCCCCATCCTGTCCCATCCCCAGGTGTGCGGTGTGGGGCTGAGGGGCTCTGTCGGGTTCTCAGGGGCTGTAGGCCCCTCGTGTCCCCAACCCCCGAGGGCCTGTCCTTGGAGGCCGTTGGGACAGGCAAGCCCTTCAGCTCTGGCTGTGTCTCCACAGCATGTAGAATTCCGGAAGCAACAAGATCTGGACAACATCCTTGAATGGCAGCCCTCAGAGGTGAGACCCCTGAGACGCCCACCGGACAGCCACCCTGGCATTTTCCCACCACCTCTCTCCCGCTTCTGCCCCCTGATGGAGGGAAGGTGTGCCTTGGTGGGGGGGGGAGGCGGCGAGGGGGCACTGGCTTGAGTCAGGGTTTTTCCATATCCCAGGTGATCCAGCGGTATGACTCGGGGGGCTTGTGCGGTTACGACCATGAAGGTTGTCCCGTGTGGTTCGACATCACTGGGGCTCTGGACCCCAAAGGCCTCCTACTGTCAGCCTCTAAGCAGGAGATGATCCGGAGGCGCATCAAGACCTGCGAGGTGCTTCAGCATGAGTGTGAGCTGCAGACTGTGAAGGTGAGCGGCTGGGGGTGGGGTGGGGTATGGCCTGCCAGTCTGCTGACAGGGGACGGCAGGGCCGTGGGGGGTGGCACCTGTCATCGCCCTAGCACTCAGTATCTGCTAACCACAAGGCCATCGACCCAGCAACATCCAGCATGAATCAAGCGTCACCAAATCGCTGTCCCCTTCTGCAGTGGACACTGTGAAAGCCCATCTGGCTGGAGGTGCCACTTTACTCCTGGAAGAGGTGTCTCCTGGTCGCTCCATTGCAAAAGTGCAAACACCCAGTGGGAGAGTCGTTGCTTTGGGTGACCCTGGAACCTGAGCGTGTCCCTTTGGGGACCCTCGAAGCTATGCAATATACCTATGGAGATGCTACAAAAAATACTGTGTCCTAGGAACTGGGAGGGCTGCTGAGTATAGAAGGACCCTGAGCTCAGCTCTGGGGGTCTCTTCTTGCACCTGAGCTGCCCACCGCCACCCCCGCCCCTGTCTTTCCTGACCCGAGTCCTTCAGAGAGAACCCAATGCCGAGATTGGCCTGTGCTGGTTTTGTGTGTCTGGGTGCCTCGATGGCTCTCTTGTGCCCTTGGGGGATGATTTGGTGCATGGCTGACTCCATGTGACCAGCGCAGGGCCTGGCACAACCTGGCACAATGCCAGACCATGTCGCGTGGAGTCCAAAGCACCGCGTGTAGTGGCGCCTGGTTGAAGGAGCAGAAGCCCTGCTGACATCGAGGTGCTAACCTCAGGGTCAGAGTTTGACCCCGCCAGCTGCTCTGAAAGGAGCCTTGTTGGTGTCGAGGGGTTACGCATTGGGCTGCTGACCTCTACGTCAGCAGTTTGAAGCCACCAGCCACTCTATGGGAGAAAGGTGAGGCTTTCCAGTCCTATAAGCATTTGCGTAACGCTCGTGAGCACAGGGTGTTCTAACACTGTGCAATGACCGACTGTCACACCATGCTCAGGTCTGGTGTCCCTTCCGGCCCCGGATGGGTTCCATCTGTTTGGAAACCCTATGGGCTGCCGGCAGGTGTCCGCGTCTCTCTGTTAGGGCCTCCCTGTTAGCGCTCTGGTGACCCCTCGATTCGCTCTGTCCCCTGCAGCTGGGCAAGAAAATCGAGACAGTGGTGATGGTGTTTGACTTGGAGGGGCTGAGCCTGAAACACCTGTGGAAGCCAGCTGTGGAGGTCTACCAACAGGTAAGATGAAGAGGCGACCTCAGGCTAGTGGGACAAGAGCTCCTAGACCAATGGGGATCCAGGACCCATGGCGGGCCAAGGACTAGATAGTGAGTCTTGCCTGGGGCCCACCCTCCAAGAAGAGTTCCCCCAGAGGAGGAAGGCGTGCTGAATGGTGGGGGCCTCTTTCTGGCAGCCAGTAGCCAGAGATGCAGGGCAAAGGGTCCTAAACATGACCTCAGTGAGTCTCATCTTCGCCCCACAGTTTTTTGCCATCGTGGAAGCCAATTATCCCGAGACGCTGAAGGTTTTAATTGGTGTGCGAGGTGAGTGAGGTGGTCTCCTGGGGAGGGAGGACAGGGAAGACCGGGAAGGGGCAGTGGGTACGCCATTGAGGTCAGGGCTCCTCAAAGGAGCCATTGGGAAGAACCATTGGAGGTTGTCCCTCCTTCCCTCCTGCCTTCCTTCCTTCCAGACGGACGCTTTTGGAATATCCAAAATCATGGCCGGTGTACTATAGCAATGTCAACTAAGTTCGCTGTTGGGAAATGTGTGCTGTCGCTTGCTTGGCTCACCTGCTGTGTTCTGGTCAACAGCCCCGTTCATGGTCAATGCTGGTTGGCGGACACGCTGTCTGCAACGGCCGTAAAGTGTTGATTCAATGCATGTCCTCTGGGAACCTGTTCAAATATAACTGGTTCCGTGACTCCAAGCCTCAATTCACCCATCTGTGAAGTGGCCAGGCAGAGGCACTTCCCTCATGCCCAAACCCCTCACCTGCCATCTGGTGGATGCTGATTCCTCGTGCCCCACAGGGCAGGGGGGAACTGCCCTCATGCATCTGAGACTGGAACTTTTTCCAGGAGTAGAACGTCCATCTTTCCCCCAGGGAGCTGCCGGTGGGGTCGAACTGCTGACCTTAGCGCTCACAGCCCAACTCAAAACCACTGCGTCCTGGGTGAGGGTGAAATGAGACAGCCGCTGGAGAAGGGAGAGCCCAGCACCTAGCCCACAGAAAGTACCCAGTGCGCATGAGCAATTTATGGTAGGGCATTTGGTCTGATGCAGATGTTGCCCCCCGCCCCCCACCTGCGCTCCCAGAAGGTCCACAGGCAGCCTGGGGACACCTTGAGCATGGGACAGAAGTGGCACTCTTGGGTAGTCAACAAATGCTGCTACCAACACCTTCCAGCTAGGCTCGGGGAGGCAACTGCTGGATGAGAGCTAGGCATTGTGCCCACGCGTTATAGGTAACTCTGAACCAACTTAATGTCCATGTGACAGTGAACGATGCTGAGACCCCCAAGAGGCCGCGAGCCTAAAAGGGACGTGGCAGGGTCCAAATCTCACGTGCGTGACTTTGTATGGCTGAGTTCTCTCTGGCCAAGTCTCTCAGGGGCGCGTGACATATTCCAGCGCCCAAGCTGTTCCCCGTGGCCTTCAACCTGATCAAGTCGTTCATGAGCGAGGAGACGCGCAAGAAGATAGTGATTCTGGGAGGTGAGTGTCTCGGCCTCTGGGCTGCGGCCGTCGGCACATCTGTCAGAAAGCAGAGACCGGTGCGAAGGGCCCCTGTGAGGCCCAGCTCCTTTGGTTCAGTCGGAGACTGGCCCGGGCCTGTCCCCACTTGGCTTCTGCACTCAGTGGGGAGACTGCAGGCCCCGTCCTGGGTGGCTACGTAAAGCTTCTTTGGTAGTCTCACAAGTAGGGTCTCCAGGGAACAGGCTGAAGCCACAGCAGGCTCCCCCCTCCCTGAGCTCATTGCCCACTCCTGCTGGTCTCCCCCGCAGCCAATTGGAAGCAAGAGTTACTCAAATATATCAGCGCCGACCAGCTACCGGTGGAGTTTGGGGGGACCCTGACGGACCCTGATGGCAACCCCAAGTGCCTGACCAAGGTACAGGGTGCCCAAAGGATGGGGAGAATGGGGAGGGTGGGGATCCAGTGCCTGCTCACAGCTTCACCCTCAGATCAACTACGCGGGCGAGGTGCCCAAGAGCTACTACCTGCGCAACCAGGTGAAGATGCAGTATGAGCACACAGAGCTCGTGGGCCGAGGCTCCTCCCTGCAAGTGGAGAATGAGATCTTGTTCCCAGGCTGCGTGCTCAGGTAGGGACCGTGGCCACTCCACCCCTGGACACAGCTGGGAGGAGCCCAGGGGCCCAGGCAACGTCCTCATCGGGGCTCTGTCCCCTGCAGGTGGCAGTTTGCATCAGACAAGGGGGACATCGGCTTCGGGGTCTTCCTGAAGACCAAGATGGGGGAGCGGCAGCGGGCCGGTGAGATGACCGAGGTGCTGACCAGCCAGCGCTACAACGCCCACATGGTGCCCGAGGACGGGAGCCTCACCTGCCTCAAGGCTGGCGTCTGTAAGAGCTCCTTGTTCACTCCATTTGTTTGCCCACCTCCATCATGCCGGGCAGGCCCTTTCTGCCTCTATTTCCAGTTCTCAGGGAGGGAACTGTGTAAACTCCCAGGACCATGGGCACCAGTGGGCTTGGTTCTGGGCCTTACGTCTGGTGAGCGTTTCCGGGTCTGGGTACCAGGGCGTAGGTGAATTGCGGAGGGAGAGCCAGGATCTGTGGGGCTGGGCAGGGACTCAGCTCCTGAGAACTCGCTCCCTGGACCCGTCAGGTGGAGAGAGAGAGACAGGTAAAGGAGAGCGAGGCTCTGTCAAAGGGTCAGTGTTTCAATGTCAGCTCTTCCGCTCCCCTTCCTGACTTTGGGGGGCTCACACGGAAGGCCTCCCCGACTTCATGATTACATCACATCCGTTTCTATTTTCTTCCAGCACTTCCATGCTTTTATTTCTAATGGGAACATGTTTTTATTTCAACTGGAATATAACCAAGGGTCTGGGGGAGATGTTGGTTGGCGGCCCAGGAGCATTCAGGGAATATCATTCTTTACTTGTTTCTCCATCAGCTCTCAAGTCAGGTCATTATACAGTTCTATTTATTTAATCATTTTGGGGGGAGCTTGTCCTGCTCTTATTACAATCCATACATCCCCCCGTTGTGCCAAGCACTTTTGTACATATCTTGCCATCATCGCCTTCACAATATTTTCTTTCTTCTTGAGCCCTTGGGATCAGCTCCTTATTTTTTTCCCCTCCCTCATGAACCCTTGATAAATTATTATTCTTTTCATAGCTTACATCATCCACTGTCTCCCTTTGCTCGCCCCTCTGTTGTTCGTCCCCCTGGGGTTGGGTGGAGTTATATGTTGACCATTGTGATCGGTTCCCCTTTCTCCCCCCACCTTCCCCTTCCCCTTCTGGGATCGCTACTCTCATTGTTGGTCCAGAGGGGTTCATCTGTCCTGGATTCCCTGTGTTTCCAGCTCCTATCTGTACCTGGGTCCATGCTCTGCTCTAGCCAGGTTTGTAAGGTAGAATTGGGGTCATGATAGTGGGGAGGGGGACCATTAAAGAACTAGAGGAAAGCTGTATGTTTCGTCCATGCTGTACTGCACCCTGGCTGGCTCGTCTCTTCCTTGAGACCCTTCTGTGAGGGGCTGTCTAATTGTCTACAGATGGGCTTTGGATCTCCCTTCATTCACCTTTATCCAGTTCTTGGGTCTATTTCTGGGTTTTCCTGTCTGAGACCTTGACCGTGGGCATCTTCGTCAGGGAGGACGTCTCCCAGCCTCCCCGGGCGTATGCCTGGAGTGTCCACTCTCACTGACATGGGGTTCGGTCCCCGTACACCGGTCACACGTGATCTTGGTTCACTTAGCAGGATTCCGGATAGGCAACCCCAGCAGAAATGCAGGCAGGGACTCGCCTTTGGCCCTGGGGACAGCTCAGGTGTGATGTAATAACCCTCCCGGCTTGGAAATCCCCCCAACCCACACCAGTGTTCCTCAGAGGAGCCATGGCCTTGGCTGCAGGGCTCCCAGCAGGGACCCACCCAGGGAGGTGGCTCCCTCCAGGTGTGCATCCTTCACTCCCGGGCCACCGGGGCCAGGTACAAGTTTGCTCCTTTTTTACCATCACAATATTGCCTAGTGACGCGCTGACCTTCCTACTGAACGCTTGCTGTGGAGAAGGTGAGGGGGCTTGTTCTGCTTCCTGGAAGGGGAGAGTTGTGGGGAGGGGGAGACCAGGGAAGTCTGCACGACTCGCCTCAGGACCACGGCTCACTTCCACCTTGGTGGTGAGGGCAGTGCCTTCCTTGACATGAAAAGACAGCCTGGAAGCCCAGACCTCTCATTGTGGACAACTGGTCCCCCTCTCTGGGTTGGAATATGGGGACAAGCCAGTCCTAGTGGCTACCCTCCCTTGTGATGTGGTGGTAGAACAGTAGATGGCCTGTTTTCTCATCCATGAAACCAGGTGGCCACATCTTCTCAAAAGAGCCCCCCAGACACTGCGGACTAACGGTTGGGCTGCTAACTACCAAGTTGGTGGTTCAAATCCACCGGCTGTTTCTCCGGAGAAAGAGGAGGCTGTCTGCTCTGTAAAGAGTTAGAGTCTCGGAAACCCTCAGGGGCAGTGCTACTCTGCCCTGTAGGGTCACTGTGAGTCAGAGCGGGCTCCATAGCAGGGGGTCTCAGTGTCTTCCCCGGCGGGGGCAGCTTTGAGGACTTGGGAGCGATCAAGTGCTGGAAAATGCCCGCATCTGATTGTACTGTTCCGTTAAGTAGCACGGGCGCGACCTAAGGAAGTGGAGGTAAGGGCTGGGGCTGGGCAGTGGCCAAGCCATCACCCGGGACAGCCCCCACTGCCCATACCAAGGGCTCAGGGCTAGTCTTCCTGCAGACAGGTCAGCAGCTGGTACACTGACCCCTGTCCCTCCTCACAGATGTCCTGCGCTTTGACAACACCTACAGCCTGGTGCACGCCAAGAAGATCAGCTACACTGTGGAAGTTCTGCTCCCGGACAAGGCCTACGAGGAGAAGATCCAGCACCTGGAGGGCACGGGGGCCAGCCCAGCACAATGAAGACCTTGGCCACCCCCCTGTGCACCCCTTAACACACACCCCTGCCCCTTGTCCCATGCCCCATGGTAGGGTGATCCTTAAGGTGGCCACAGGGAGCTACCCACCCACACATGACCTTCTCAACGCCTGGCCCAGAGGTCCAGCAGGAAGAGGGACAACAGTGGGTGAGGACCGAGATGGACACCTCATCTCCCGTTCCCGGGATTCCCACAGTGAGCCAGAGCCCACGTCCTTCCTGGCAGGGTCCAGCCCCCACCTGGTGGCCCTGCTGGGGAGTGTAGCTAAGCTTGGGCCTTGCAGGCAGCGCAGCTGTAGGCCTGAAGAGCAGGGTGGAGCAAGGGTCTGTTGGTGGCAGCTGTGTGGAGAGGGGGGCCAGGGTGGTCCCTAGTTCCAGCAGAGCATCAAGCTCCACCCACCTTAGGGGGTAAATTGGAAACCCAGAGAGGAGACCTGGTCGGGCTGAGCACTGGGGATACTCGGCCTTGTGCAGAGCCGAGTGGGTCCAGGCTGAGACTCCAGTGAGTTCTCGGTGACCTCCCCACGTACCCGAAGGTCTGACTCCATGACTGTGTCTGGAATCCCTGTCTAAGAATGAGGGGCTCATGGACTTGAACCCTAACGCTTACCCTTCCACACGCCTGCAGCCAATGCCCCACCTTCAGCACAACTGCACCTGGCTTTCTTGCCCTGCCCTATAAGCAAGGATTCCCAAGGCGCTGAGTACAGGTAATGCGCACAAATACAGGCCCCGTGAGGCAGGCTGGTGAGTGAAGAGGTCACCAGCGGATCTGAAGAGGAGCCCTGGTGGTGGGGTGGTTGCAGGTTGGGCTGCTAACCTCAAGGTCAGCAGTTCAACACCACCAGCTGTTCCAGGGCTGCCTGCTCTCACAAAGAGTTACCGTCTGGGAAACCCACAGGGCCGGTGCTACCCTGTCCTGTAGGGTCGCCTTGGGTGGGCATCAATCCGAGTTTGGTTTCTGAGTAAATCAGAACCCTGAAACTGGCAGGGTCTCTTCCGAGGATGAGCTGGGAGTGCGGGGGTCGTCTACCAAGCTCGTGGGAGGTGGGGCCTCAGAGACCCCTTCCTGACTCTGACCATAAAAAGGAAATCGCAAGAAAGGGATGCAGGCTCGATCAACCATTCACTCATCCAGTGTATTATCTGTCTTCTCAGTCCGTGGGCCCCGGGCACACGGGAGGATACGAGATCGACCCAAGGCTAGGGAAGGCGGACCTGACTCTGGGCACAGTATGGAAGGGGCATGTTCTCCCCCATGTGCCCAGTTCTGGGAAAGCATGCAGCAAAGGGAGCGGATGGACATCAGAAGCCGGGGAGGTGGCGCCTGAAAGCGGAGCTGAAGGACGAGTGGGGCTGCCAGGGTGGGCAAGACTCCGGACAGCGGCGGGGACGTGGGCAGCTGGAGAGGGCAGCCAGGGGTTCACTCTCTGGGCCCTCCTGCCTCTGGGGAACGGTGATAAGGACAGACAGATGCCGGCTGTTTCTTTATGCACAGCTGCACACACCTGTTAATAAACCCGTTTTGTAACTCTGATTACGGAGCCCAGCTTTGTTTGTCTGCCACCACCATCTCGGCAAGAGGCCATCAGTGAGCCCTTGAGACTCAGACAAGGAGCCTGTGGCCTGGAGGGTGGAATGTGGCAGGACCCAAATACAAGCGGCGTGTGGACACACAGGAGCATCAACCCCTGTTCACAGACGAGCAAAGCAAGACTCCGGGCAGGAATACCCCGGGAGAGGAGAAAGCTGGGTCTGTCTGCCCCGGGAAGATAGGAGGTGGGCAGGCAGCAGGGGACTGTCCTGGATTGAGCCCACGCTGGGTGGCTCCAGAGAGGAGGGCCCTGGCCACCTCTGAGCTGGCTGAGAGGTGCTCCGGGTCATGGTTGCACCACCCTCGGCCACCAGAGGGCAGTGCTGGGCCAGCCTTGTCTCAGCTTCACAGGATCCAGGCGCTGATCCTGCCCTGGTGACCAGACAGCAGCTGGCTCACGGGTTAATCAAACACTGTTGGGGGTTCAAGCCCACTCAGGGGTGCTTCCGAAGAAAGGTCTGGTAATCTTGTGAAAAACCAGCAACCGGAAATCCTATGGGGTACAGTTCCACTCTGACTTGGAAGTCCACTAAGTCCAAACCGTACTGGGTCAGTTTGGAGACGTCGTTTTAGCTTCCTATCGTTAAGGTCCCTTGGCAAGCAGGTCCTGGGGCCTAGATGGTCCAGCTCACCTGGCCCAGGCTGTTTGTGGAGCCAGAGTGTGGCCTGACTCCCCTGCTTATTGGCTGGCTCCCTGCATCTGTGTTTCCTACTTAAGATACGCCTGGCGTCCATCTTCCTCGCCCTGCCACCACCCGAGTTGGGGCACCACCTTATCTTGCCTGGATGATTGGAAGGGAGCCCACGGGGCTGACTCATAAAGACCCCTGTGGGTCTCCGAGCTATAACTGATTGCGGGAGTAGGCAGCCCAGGCTTTTCTCCGGCCCTCCGCTAGACAGCAGCCAGAAAACATCATTCTGAAATGAAAATCGGATTCCTTTCACTGGCTCCACAGTCCTCTCCCAAGTAAAGTCCATCTGATGAGTGACTTTCAAGGCCTTCTGTGGCCTAGCTGCTACACCCACTTCCAGCTCCACCCAGCTGCCCAAAGTGCCACCCACCCCCTAAGCCCCTCAGCCTGGGCCTTGCCTCGCTCCCAACCTTGATCAGCATGGCCTCAAGACCACTGACCCTGCCTCTGGGGGGTCTGCCCAAGGCCTCCCCACTCGGGTCCTGTAGAATGGGGGACCCTTCACACTGAAGGAGCGACTGGGCCTGTTATCACCCCATAATTCAGAGCCATCTGGCTTGGGTGTCACTCGTCCACCCTCAACCACAAGCCCAGCCCCGCGTGCCCCTGAGTCCCAGGGAAGCCTGGCAAATGGGAGTGGGCTGCCGCAGAGGCCGCTGCTCCTCTGGGCTGCCTTGCTTGCCCTTCACCGCAACCTTGCCACTTTGACGTGGGGGGTGAGGCAGGGCAGAGGAGGCACAGAGACCCCGCAAGAAGCTGGCAACCAGTCTGTACTCGGGTGATGGCTGACTCCAGAGCCACCCAACCAGTTAGGTCCTATGGGAGCCTTCCCTGGGCAGCATGACTCAGCACCCTGGGAGACCGAGGGAGAGAGCTGGCTGGGGGTGGTCGGGGAGCAGGAGTGGAGGAACCAGTGGTGGGGGTCATCCAGGAGTGGAAGGTGGATCAGCAGAGTAGTACCCCTAAGAGCCAACACTACAGATCCCACAGAAGCCTTGCAGGCACAACAGATGAGCACTCGGCTTTGAACTGAAAGAGCGGTGGTTGAGCCCACCCTGACCTTCTGCTCCTGAAGGTTGACGCCTTTCGGAGACCCTCAAGGGCAGTTTTACTTTGTCATGCAGGGTTGCGACCAGTTGCAAATAGCACAAAACAATAGTACGCAATGAATCACTCACTGTGTGTCAAGCAGTGCGTGAGGCACCGTACTGGTCTTCCTGACCACCTCAGTAACCTCCTGGTAGCCCCACCTTAGACTCGAGAAAACCGAGGCTCAAAATCACACGGCACATTAGCAGAGAGCTACACTTCAAACCCGGCAGCCTGGTCTGTGCTTCAATCCCACACGTTTTTAAACAACTGG